TTTGATACAAAAAATTGCAATACGAACTTTTGGTTCACCCTAATATTTTTTATGAATTTATGTTGAATTATAATGTTGAAATATTATTAATACAAATTAATTTGTTGGGAATAGAAACGTGGAAGTATTGAATATTTGATTTGATGATTTTTAGAAAAGCAAGGTCTCAATTTTAAATATAATTTATATAATTTTTAGAATTGTTAGATCACGGTCAAAAATTTCAGTCGACTATTATTCGGTCTCGTGAATAATTTGGTGATTTTTAAAAGTCCTAAAAGTAAGAAAAAACCCACGTCTAGTGTACGGAAGACGATCGCATTACTCGAGGGTATACACTCTTCTAGCTTCTTTACTTTTTTCATTTTTTCTTTTTAAAGGGCATAGCTTAAGACCTTCTTCCTCGTGTGTCGCGAATTTAAAATATAAAAAACAAAAAAGGTTAAAGAGAAGTATCTTTTGAATATGAAACAGCAAAAAGAATATTGCGTAGAATAAAAAGAAAATACTTTGACCATGGAATTCCTGACATGATAGTTCAAATGACTTGTCTTCGTGACTCACGATGATGTGTTTCAAACTAAAGTAAGACGAAGAAAATAAAAAAAAAAAAAAAATAAATAAAACAGAAAAATAAAGCGTGTTCTCTTTAAATGACATTCTTGTCATTTGTAAACCCTAATGAGAGATGGACTGAATAATAATCATTGTTATTTTAAAAAATCATCATTCAATTCATGACTCAAAAATTATCTTCTAGTTGATGATGAATCAAAATAAATATTTGAAGTATATTTTTATGAAGTTATCAAATCGTAGTAGTAATAGTAGTAGTAGTAGTAGTAGTAGTAATAGTAGTAATAGTAGTAAGTTGTATCAAAATGTTAGACGAATTTATTATATATATATATTAATTTATTTAGAAACGAATCTTATCTCGTTCATCGTTAAATTCACGATGTATTCATTACAAAAAATAATTAAAAAAATTATCTTCTAGTAGATGATGAATCAAAATAAATATTTAAAGTATATTTTTATGAAGTAATCAAATCGTAGTAGTAATAGTAGTAGTAGTAGTAGTAAGTTGTATCAAAATGTTAGACGAATGTATTTATTATATATATTAATTTATTTAGAAACGAATCTTATCTCGTTCATCGTTAAATTCACGATGCACTCATTACAAAAAAAAAAAAAAATTAAAAAAATTACCTTCTAGTTGATGCAAATGACGATGAATCAAAATAATTATCCCAAATATATTATTACGAGCTAATCAAAATGTTAGACGAATTAACACCCCACGAATAAAGGATACGAATAATTAGTCAGATAAATAAGTTAGATAGGTGAAACAAAAAAAAAATGATAGAAATAGAAAGAGACAGAATGAATGCACTTCCCGCTCGTACGAGTGCACGATGCAAACTGACAGACGCACGAGGCAAAAGAGGAGACAAGTTAGTGTTAGTTACCCATGTGACCTCTCTCTCTCTCTCTCTCACACACACTCTCTGTATATGAGTGTATGTATATAACGGATACCGACACATCCATAATCTTTTACATATATAATGCACCCCACTAAGATTTTGTACGTACAGATAACTAATACTTAGAATACGATAATATAAATCATACACACATATACACACACATACACACAGGTTTATATTTAGAACACATAGAAAATTACGCGTATACTATATGGATCACACATAGATGCATACAATTGCATACAATTGCATTACTTAATATACGCCTATAGTTTGGAAATATAATTCTGTATTGTTATTATTATTATTAATTATATTATTAATAATTATTATTTTTCTTTTTTTTTCTAAATTAAGAATATATTTTATCATTCGTAACTTCTTTACAGTTGTCTGAGTTTCTACACTTCTACTATATTTTTTAACGTTCGTGGGAATAAGGTTATAGGGCAGGAACCCTTTTTTATTTTCCTTACCCTAAACGGAAGTTCGCCTAAGTTTAATTACGAGTTTACAGTTTATATTCGAAATGTTGCATTCGAGAATAAAATAGGAAAAAAAAATGTTTAGATTTATAAAAAAAATAGAAACAGAAGTCTTGATAACTCGAAAGAAAAAGAAAAAAAAAGGGTTGACGATGCATCGAGTAAAACAAAAGAAAAAAAAAGTAAGATTTAATTGCAAGTAAATCATTATACACTTTCTATCAGTCAAGGTAACATGCTTCGAAGAACATTTTGTACTTGTAAACGTCAATCATGATACATAGTTCTTACTTTTTTAATTTTAATCATACGAGTGCAATGAATATCAATGTTAAAATGAGATGAACAAAAAATGGAGTGGATATTTAAAAAAAAAAAAAAAAGCTTTCACCACGATGATTATTTCCTATGATAGATGAACAAAGTTGTAATACAAGTTGCACACAATCAAACACTTGATTACATGCATGCGAATAAAAATAATAAATATTTTATAATTAAAAGAAAAAGAAAAGAATGATCATTAGTGAATCATTCAGTATAAAAAATTAGAGGTTAGGTTGAATCAAAAAGATTCGAATGGTAGAATAAATCTTTGATCGGTATCAGTGTTGTCGAAGAAAGAAGGTAGGAAGGAAGAACCTTTTGTTATTATCTTGAAGAGGTTTTTCTTCTTGCAACGGGGCTGCAACGGCTGCAACTGCAGCAGCCACCTGCATCAGACCATGGCGACCCTTTAATAAGAGCAATACGATCTCAGCTATTACCTTGCTTCTTCTTCTTTTTCATCTACTTCTTTCTTCGCATCTTTGATCTTTCTTAAACATGTCGATATAATTTAAAAAGAAAAATGGCGGACTATGCAGTTGGCACGTGTACCATCAAAATTTATTATCTTTTTTGTTTTACAAATTAATATTTTAGGTTGAGTTAACAGAATTTGTATTAATATTTGATTGTAAATTTTTGGGTAATATTTAACCCTTTGCACTCTTTTTACGTAGGTGTCGCTACTGCGCCATTTTCTTTTATTGTAGTTATATTATATTTTATTAAAATTATATTTATATTTAATTATAAGTAATTATAATAACTCATAGTTATTATAAATATTGTGTATTGTGAATTTTTGGTTTATTTAAAAAAAAAAAGATAAACACGTCGATCTTGTTTGAGATCGTTGAAGCGACTGAAAGAAATCTTCTTCGAGTAGAAAACTCTTCCCGTTTTAGCCACCTGTTCTCCAAGTAACTTTCACTCTCTCTCTCGTAATCTGACCATCGAAGACGAGATCCTCTTCGCGACTCGTTTAATCGGAATTCCTTATTTATCTTTAACGATTACGTTCGATAAATAAAAAAAAAAAAATAACGTTTTTATGTAATTTTTAAAGTAAAAGTATAAAAAGGTGTGTGTGTAACCGGTGCATCATCGTCCCTGTTTTCTTCGGTGCATCTTCGGAACGATAAATTTAGTACTTTGATTCTCTTACATTAGGTGCTAGACGACGTCGACATCATCGTAGGCGGGTTCGACGATCGATTCTAACAGCCGAGCCGGAAATTGTGGCTGATTGAGAAGTTCGGAAAAGCAATCGAGAGCCGATAACGAGCACGTTGCACTTCCGACATCATCGAATACCTAATTCTACTCGTCGCGTCAGCCATTTTTTTCCTTTTTCTTTATTTTTATCTCCAGTTATTGTCATCCTTTCACTTGCTTTTTCATTCAAATTTTAAAACTTTCATACTTTTCCTTACCTTTTTTCTTTTTTTTTTATTTATCATTCAATATAAATCGATTAATATTTTGTTCTATTTTTTATTATTACCTGCTGATATTTTTATTAATTCTATTTTTTCTTTTATATTTTTTTTTCTTTTAACGATGAAGAAGACGATCGAATGATTTTTATTTTTTTTTTCTTTCTATTTTAATGACAAAACCAAACTTGATTTACAGGATGCGTCGTTCTACTCGATCGCATCTATAATAACTGGTTACAACAGTAGCTAATATTAACAGTAACAGTAACAGCAATAGCAAAAGCAAGCGTTCTCGCGATTCTCATCACGAGAGGAAGATTCGTTCAACCGTTTAGAAAGCGAACGCGACGGCACCAAGTTAAAGGCTTTGTTTTCTCGCATCCCTGAGAATTGGAAAAAGCGAAACCGAATGCTGGTTTCCTACACAAACCAATTCCTCTATTTTTACTTTATTTTTTTAGTTTTTTTTTTTTGAAAAGGGAAACGATTGAACGAACCAACTAACGCGCTTGCTTTCTAAAAACAAAATACAAAACCAAATATAAAAATTGTTAACTTCATTTTTATAGACAAATTTTAGAAAATAATTAAATAAAAATATATTTGAAAATGATTTTATCTATCAGAAATGTAATAACAAAAATAAAATCACATAGCATACACTTTGTCTCATTCATTAAATTAAATTTTGCTGTTTAAAACTGTATACTTAAAAATACAAAATTATTCCTTTTCTCTTTCGCATTATTTATATTATACTTTAACACGCGGTAATAAGTGATTCTACTTGTTTTTTTTTTACTAATGCAATTATGTTGTCCTATGCAATTTTCTTTTAACACGCGAACTCGTAGAAACAATGACGAAAACGTGATTCACCTTTTTATTATTCGTAATGTCATCTTATTCTATTTTTTTTCTTTATTTTTTTTTGTAATTACGATGTTAACAATTGAAAAAATATTTCAATGCAAATAGACTCAATCTTATCAGAATTAAAAATGAAGGATAATTACAAAAAATTATTGATACTCGTGGCTTTCGTGGTTCAAACAAAAGATTACGAATGAAGTCAATTTTAAATTTGAAAATATTAGGCGGTTCGGAAAGTCGTTTCGTTTTTTGCTGACGCAATAATGGCATTAGTTGATGCAAACCGACAAATAGTAACACATTAGATCGATGAGATGTTAAATTTATCAAATTTAACTATTTATGACCACTTGAAAAGTTTAGGTTTAACCTCGAAGCAAAAATTGTCTTGATTTTTACAAAAGAAAAACGAAATGACTTTCCGAACCACCCAATATTTCGATAAATTTTTGATACGATAATTTATGAACATATTTAAAATACATTTTTAAGTAAACGTATACTTAATTAAATATACATTTTCACAATCCATAAAACATTCCTTTGATTAAAAACCAATTCCCGGTTCATGCGTACCTGAGCATGCGTACGTTCAATTATGATAACCTTGAAAAATCATCACCACGAAAGAATACACATAGTCATTATTTTTCTTACAAACGCGTGTTCGAGAAAATTCGAAATTTATTATACTTTTTTTTTTATCTACACTGTAAAAATGACTTTTTAAATGTTCATAGTGTGACGTTAAATATACCGTGAAGATCGTCACAAATGCACAACATCACTTTTACACGATCTGTCATTTCTTATTCTTCATATTATTCTTCTTAGAAAGTAATATCGAAAGTAAAAGAATATTTCTTCATTAAAGAATATTTTTTCTATTTATTTTATCAAATTTCAACAAGAATTATTTCATTAGAACGAACACGATAATCCAATGGATTGTAAAACTAGCAAGCTTGAAAATAATTTTCTTTTTAGATTATTTTTAATCATAAGTATTAGATATTTATTTTTTTCAATATTTTATTTATAATATATAATCCAAGGTTATTAAATTATTAAAAATAAAATGTCATTGGAATTTTTATTTTAATCTTGAATTATCATCCTAACCTTCGTGCTAAAAATAATTTTCATTATTTTTATACTTATATTAAATATAAATAAAATATATGTGAAAGATTACAGTTAGAAAATTTGTACGAGATGTTTTCCTCTAACGGCGTTAAAGATCTGCGAAGTACATATGTAAACGAATATATATATATATATACTTATGTATATGTATAAGTTTAAAAATATAACTCGTTCTCCATCATGTACGTACTTCCGCGTATATAAAGACGCACGTGCATTTATGCTCGAGTTCACGATTACGTTCGTCATTTTGCAAATTTAACACGCGTTTTTGCTTTCCATTCTTCGTCTTCCTTTTTTTCCCCCTCTTCATTTTTTTTTTATTTGAACTACGTAGTACGTACGTCGATTTATCTCGAGATACACGCGTGAACGCGCGCGCGAAATTTAAATCATAAATCATTCGTCATTTCAAGGTGAACCCGAACAATCTTTTTCCACGATTTAAAAAATCTAAGCAAATGTTTTATTTGTCAAAGTAAAATAAAAAATCATACACACACACACACACACACACACACACACAAAGAAAATAATTATAATTATCTATACGAGTTATCTGTATGTAAAATAAGATGAGTTTTATAATAATTTTGTTAAGTTCAGTTCAATTTAATTATTCATAAAGTAGTTGAGGAAATTTATCTGTCGATCGATCGATAGCAGAAAAATGATTTCACACCCTGTATATAAGAATCTTATTCTAACATGGAGAATCTAGTTCTGAACGCTATGCAACCAGTTTGTGCAGTTGAATTAATCTTATAAGACCGACAACTTGGTCACTTTGAAAGTATACCGATCGTTTAAATCGTAGCGAACCATGACTCTCGATATGACCAATTATTTAACGTGTGTTAATTTAAACTTTAACTTAAATAAACTTTAATAACATGTTATACTTTTATCAAAGATTACAAATATTTTACAGTATGAAATCATATTTTATTTTTGTGAAATAAAAAAGACAAATTTCTCCATCATAAACAAGCCGATGAAAAAAATCATTTTAATATACTACGTTGGTCAGTTGATTATCATTTCAATGTACTACGTTGGTTAGTTGATTAATAAAATAACGAGCTATTTAATTCCAATGTATTTTATGTTGAAACAAACAAATGAGAATGAAAAGAAATATGTTTTTTTTTTTCGTAATATTGTTTAATATTAAATAAACGTTAATCAAGTTATCGAATGGTTTACGTAGTCGATATCTAATGTAACTAAACCATTAGCGGTTTCAAAGCAAATCTTTGTCTTTAAATTTACGAGCAGAGAGTAAGCTGCCAGACGTGCAGCTACTACGATAAGCGTTATCTTATAATTATTCAACGGATGTAACCATAATATATATGTGTTTGTATGCTTCTATGGGGTTCGATTTTTATAAAAGGAATGAACTATACGTGCCACGTTCGAATCGAATATAAATCGATAATCGTTATCATTTAAATACTCAAAGGATTACATTATTTACATATTTTTCATTTCACAAATATATTTTTTAACCTACAACACCCACCCATACACAAACATTTCAATAAAGAACAATTCATAAGCAAATAAAAATGAAAGTTACGAATATTTTATATCAAAGTTTAAATAATTCATAAAAAAAACTTGCATTTTGTCATTTTGGTGACGTCAAATGATTGGTATGATTGTTAAATGTTAAATTGTTTTTTGTATTAATAGGTCAATGTTAATCATTTTTGACATGCAATTATTCCACAGACTTTGTTTTCTTCTTCTTCTTTCTTTTTATGTATTTTGTTATCTAAGCAAACTAATTTTAATTATACGCGTAGATAAATTTATAAGTTGTGTTTGTGTGAAATTAAATAGACGAGATACGTCAAACGAGCGTGCAAATACAAAACAGTGCTCTGTTACGCAATTTTACATCATTGCGTATTTAAACAGCGAGAAAAAGATACTTTTTTTTTTTTAAATATGTACGTGAGTTCCCAACGAATATGTTATCACATATTGCAAATGATTATGTTGAGAATATGAGCAAATTTATTCATCTAATCGTAGATTGTAATTAAAAGAAAAAAAAATGAAAATTTGATAATCAAACATTGTATTATTTTTCTTAGTATATTATTAACACAATGAAGTTTTTTATTCCTGTATAATAATCTAAATCATTATTATGATTGACTATAGTATATAAGCCTTATCTTTATCGTAATATTCACATTCTACAGAGAGACTCTATCGTTTATACGATTAAGTTTCAATTTCAATGAAAATATTTGTATAAAATTTAATCAAAAAAAAAAAAAATATTCAACTACTTATATATAAAATACATACTGAAATTAGAGAAGTAGATCGTTCGGTATCGAATTTGCAAAAATAAAACCAGTGTCCACTTGTCAAACACACAAAATATTAGAAAAATAATTCGAATTTAAATGAACTTTGTATCAAACACTTCTCGTTATTATTATTAATATTAACGATCGATAAATGAAATAATAATAATAAAATAGAGAAAAAAAAAGGAAAAGAAACACCTGGTGAACACGGACAACAAGCAACAGCAGCAGCAGCAGACAAGAAAAATGTTTAAAGTACGAGCGTAAACATCGAACTGAAGCTCTGGCCACGGCAAGCTGCGCCTCAAGACCACGCTGCTGCTCCAACCTTTAAATTAAGCTCCTTTCACACCGAAAACTTTCCTTAGAATCAATCGTCTTTCTCATACGCCTTTCTCCTTTCGAACTAACTCAAAAATTTATAAGACTCGTACGATTCAAATGAAAAATATTACAAAAAATAAAAAATAAAATCATTGAAATTTTGAAGACAACAGAAAAAACAATTCGTTACAAATTTGTTCGAGTTAAATAAAATAAAATAAATTAATCGTTCAAAGTATTTTCCATTGTGATTGATACTTTGTATGAATTTTAACGATATGTGTTTTTACCTTTAAAATAAAATCTGAGTTAGGACAATAATAAATCTTGGGTAATGTTCTTTGGAATGGATGAGAGAAACTCAATAAAATATTCATCGAAACGTCTCTCTTTCTCGAGAATACGGTTACGGGACTGAGAAATTGTTTTCTACCAAAAATAGCATGATTCCGATCGAATGTTAATATAACCGGTCAATGCCCTTATGTTGTTACATGCATATGTATATATGTACCTATGTAAGTACGTAAGTATATTAGCAAGCGAATTTCCGCTTAAAGCTATTCGCGTTCGTATGTATCAAATAAAACAATAAAACGTGGAAATCATCGAGAAATAATCTATGGTGTTGATTCAATTAACACATCAACTTGATTTACTATCCTTAACCAATAAAAAAAAAAAAAAGAAAAATAAATCAAATAACATTAATTTAGATTTTTCATTCTCAGTCGATAAAAAAGAAATCTACTTATCCTTTTTAAATGCAAACGATAATAAACTTTTTTGAATATTAAAAAGTGAGTGCAAATGAAAGGGGAAGGAAAACATTGACACATAATATGAAAGCCCCTTAATCCAAATTCCGCACAAAGGAAGGCATCCGTGGAAAGGAACCTGCAGCAGGCCCGCATCTTCCAGGTCCGAACCTAATTCATCTCGGGGCCCTCTGCATGTAGTAGTACGATCACCTTGCACGCTACGATGCCATCTCCCTTCCAGGAATTTTAAGAACGAAACATCTGTCGTATATACACCCGTACAAAGCCATTCAACTTTTATTCGAAACTACTACGCACAAGAGGTGGACGCCATGTATTGTTTGTAAGCTCGATCAAATTAAATCAATCAAATCTGATAATAATAATAATTATTATACTATTGAAAAGTTAAATGACATTATTCATAAACTTCATGCATTTCATACATTCATACATTTTGATTGAATTAATCTTTATAGGGTATATTATTTTCCCCTTCGGTATAATTCTCTTAATGACATACTAAAGTGGATACAACTTTATAATATCTTTGTATGTTAGTGAAACTCTTTTTAAAAACCAGGTACACCAATGGAAACTTCATTAACGATGAAACTGGTTCTTGCGGTCAAAAGTAAGTATATTTCGTTCGCATTTCCCGAGGTTAACTTACAATTCAATCGTTTTCACGATTCAAGAGTGCACTATCTATATCTCTGCAACGTACGTGCAACATACAGAAAAGTATATATATATATACATATATATATAACACGTTAGTATATATGGAATATAATTCTTCAAAGTATTTACTAGAACACGAAAACTTGAAATGAATGAAGTGTCATTTTCTATCCTACGTGATAATTAATTCTATATTTTTATATGATTAATATTTTAACAAAATAAAATAAAATAAAATAAAATTTAAGCATTTCTAACTTTTCATAATTTTGTCCACGTATGTATGTAAGTATCTACGTTTTATGTACTACAATATTTTCTAACTTTGCAATAAGTAAATTCCATCCGACATAAGTCAAATTTACATTCGTTTAAAAGCATAACTTCGCCTTTCGCCATTTCGTCACGCTTAACTATGCATATTTAATTAATTCTTCGTCCTCGATCGTTAACAATAAACATGACTGGTAAATATTACAAATTATTTTAGATACGGTCCATTAAATAATATTCAAATAAATCTAACATACGTGTTTTGTACGTATTGCTACGTGCTAATCAAAAATATATTCAATAATATAATAAATTGTAAAAAAGTAGAGCAAATGTCGTAATAATAATATTAATAATAAAAAACAATTAATATTAAAGAAAAATCTTAAGTAGATCATTCGTATAGATGACGAATATAGTTATGCAATTATTAATTCGAATCATGTACAGTGATCACGTGACATAGCGTTTTATTCTTGGTTATGTTATTTAGGTATGTAATATTTTATGACGCATCTCGCATGTCATTAGCAAATTATTAATATTATTATTATTATTATTATTACGATAATTCTCTAATTCCTTTTTATAAAAATAAAATAAAATATGAATGTTTATCTCTTACCTTTTTATCACAAACCGAAGAAGAAGAAGAAGAAGAAGAGGAGGATGAGGATGAAGATGAAGGCACTTTCGTAGAAAGTTCGACAACGAAATCCTGAATCCTATTCGTTGATCCGAAAGAAGAATCATTTCTTTTATCATCGATTAAATTATGATCCTTCAATGATAACGACGAACGATTATCTTCAATTTTGATCCTCGTATGATCATCGTAGTCCTTTGATTTCTTTTCCAAATATTCTGGCTCGCTCAAACATTTTTCCAAACTAGAGGACGATGCCCTTTGTTGCAATGCAGTTGGTGAATTTGGGGTTGATTTGGAAAATTCTTCTTCGGTTTTTAAACATTGTTTATCCGTTGTTTTGTCACGTATTCGTGGTGGATCCTGATCGCGAAATATCCTTCGTTGGATCTTAGAAATTTCGCACATCTTCGAACGATTGTGATCCTTTAATATTTCAACGACATTTTCCCTCCTTTTTGTTTTCAAAACTGCGCTGTCAAATGAACAATTAATTATTATTACAAATAATTACAAATTATTCGAATTTAAAAAAAGAAAAATGAACGAAAACTCATTCAAACATTACAACAATAATTATTGATCATAAATTAATTAAAAAATTTAAAATAAAAATGTATACATACTCGTAATTTGGTGTACAGTTCCTTGTAATAAACCTTGTTTCAGCACGCGTGATAGAAAAGATAAAAATAAATGTAGAAAAGAAGGAAAGAGAAGAAGAGATAGAAAGAAGAAAAAAATTAGCCTCTTTTTCGTAACCACTATACTTCCGCAACGTGCAGAAACAAGGCAACGACTATCTTCTTGAAGGCTAAATATCCCCGTGCGTCATACAGTAGGACATCTGTTGTCCTTTTCCCTCCGAGCCCTTTCCCCTTAACGTTTCTCCCTCTTCTACTTTTATCACGTGGTTGTACTTACTCTCTTTCTCTTGCTCTCTTTGAATGTTTCTGTTTTTCTCTTTTTTTCTCCCTTCCTCTTCGTTATACGGTCCCTTTTGTCGCCACCCTTTGCACATAAAAAAATTGTGCGAACCCTAAGGGCCGTCGCTTAGCCTCCTAGGCACACCACGTTTCTCTTCCTACTCTGACAATTTTCTCTCTTTATACATATATCTTTTTGGTTATATATACATATATGTATGCGTGTATATGTGCAGTTAAAACTCTACGTGTAAATCGATTCGGAGACTTTTCGTCGCGCAAGACGTTCTTGAATGCACCACGCAAGATGTCAGCCACCAAAATTTCATTTCCCGCTCAAATTTAAATTTCAAAGGTGGAAAGGGAAAAACGAATAACAGGAGCGTTGCGATTGGTCAGAATTATTTCGGAAAATTGGCGCGTTAAATTGAAAATCGATAAACGCCTATCGATAATTTCTTCATCGACAATTTGATTTTGTTTATTAATTGTTGCCGCTTGTAGTTTTTAATTAAATAAAACTTCATCTATCATAATAATCCAATTAAATACTGTTTATTAATTATTATTGACGAAATTATATTTGCATCTAAATTGAAATTATATTTATAATATTATTATTGATCGATTTGTGTTAAAATTATTCGATGTATAATTTAAAAACTTTCATTTAATTATTCTGTTAAAACTGTATTATTGACCGATATTATTTAAATGAGTAAAAGGGAAAACTGGTGCCATCTAACTACAAAACAAGAAACCTTCAAACGCATGAATATATCAAGTAATCGCATAACATATCTCGATAACCGGTAGACTTCAGTTTGCACCACTGTGGACTTCATTGGTCTTTTCTTGACCTGCTACAATCTAGTTTAAACATATTACAAAAAAAGTATCATGCAAGCTAACTTTTGGAATTTATTGACCACATCTGTCAGGGTGAGTTCAAATGTTCAATTAGTATGTTGAATAAATTTTCTACTTTGTTCTAATACGCCATCGTAGAAACGTTCATTATAGAAAACTATTTCGTAATATCCTGAAGGGCAATTCGACTATATAACTTGATTTTTATGAATGTTCTAACAACAATGATGTAATAGTTGTAAATCTTACAATATAAATGTAGAAATTGCATGGGAAATCATTTTAATTCATTAATATCTTATGTTGATTATGTCATTGATTAACCTAACGATAACATGAATTTTTTACTGTATAATTTCAGCCAACATGTGCAAAACGTGTTGTACCTGGTTTAAAAACTGCCCAGCAGAGAAGGTATGCCAGTGCAGTGGACGCAGACGTAGTTGTCATAGGTTCAGGCCCTGGTGGATATGTAGCAGCGATTAAGGCTGCCCAACTGGGCATGAAAACTGTTTGCGTTGAGAAAGATCCAACGTTGGGTGGTACTTGCTTAAATGTTGGATGTATTCCATCTAAATCTCTTTTAAATAATTCACATTATTATCACATGGCACACAGCGGAGATTTAGCAAATCGTGGTGTAATAGGTAAATATTACAATTACAATAAATGCATGTTACATAAACTTGTTAATATTTCTTGATTATAGTGCAAAATGTTCAACTTAATTTGGAGAAACTGATGGAACAAAAACGCAATGTGGTATCCGCATTGACCAGTGGAATAGCAGGACTATTTAAAAAAAATAAAATTGAATGGTTGAAAGGTCATGGAAAAATTACAGGAAAAAATCAAGTGACCATACTTAAACCAGATGGTTCTGTGGGGTCTACTGTTAATACCAAAAATATTATAATAGCTACTGGTAGCGAAGTAACACCGTTTCCAGGTATCGAAATAGATGAGAAACAAATTATTTCTTCGACCGGTGCTTTATCATTGACCGAAGTTCCAAAAAGATTAATAATCATCGGTGCTGGAGTTATCGGCTTGGAATTAGGTTCCGTATGGCAAAGGCTAGGCTCAAAAGTAACTGCAGTTGAATTTACACCCACCATCGGTGGTGTAGGAATAGACGGTGAAGTTAGTCAAACTTTACAAAAAATTCTAACTAAGCAAGGATTAAGTTTTAAACTAGGAACAAAAGTAACCACTGCCAAAAAACAAGGAAGTGAAGTAATAGTTTCTGTCGAGGATGCTAAGGATCCTACTAAGAAGGAAGATTTAGGATGCGAAGTATTGTTAGTTTGTGTTGGTAGAAGGCCATATACAGCAAATTTAGGTTTAGAAGATATGGGTATTGAGAGGGATGAAAGAGGTAGAATTCCTGTTAATAACAGATTCCAAACAGTAGTACCATCGTAAGTATAGATTCTAATATCCTAACTATTCCCTATTAATCAAAGATAATAATAATATAATTTTTATAAAGAATCTACGCTATTGGAGATTGTATTCATGGACCAATGTTAGCACATAAAGCTGAAGATGAAGGAATAATCACTGCTGAAGGCATCGCTGGAGGTACATACATAATTATTGAACCCTACAAAAATTGAATAAATTCTAACACTCATTCTCCTTTTATTTTTCTAAACAGGTGCCGTGCATATAGATTATAATTGCGTACCTAGCGTTATATATACTCATCCCGAAGTAGGTTGGGTTGGAAAAACGGAAGAAGATTTGAAGAAAGAAGGAATCGATTACAAGGTCGGCAAATTCCCGTTCCTTGCCAATTCCCGAGCGAAAACGAATCTCGAAGCTGAAGGTTTTGTCAAATGTTTGGCCGATACCAAGACGGATAAAATTCTTGGAGTTCATATAATTGGCCCTGCTGGTGGTGAACTTATCAATGAAGCTGTTCTTGCAATGGAATACGGAGCGAGTGCTGAAGACGTGGCTAGAGTTTGTCACGCGCATCCTGTGAGTATCAAAAAATAATAAATAAATATCGTTTTAATGATAATTCGATGAACGTATTAAAAACTCATTTATTTTCTTTCCACAGACATGCGCAGAAGCTCTTAGAGAAGCTCACGTGGCAGCTGCATTTGGAAAACCAATTAATTTTTGAAATAAATGAACATTAAAACGAGCACTCACAAATGCGAGGAAAAATGGACATGTTTGATCACATCGTAGCTTCGATCTAGTCTACGTACGAATAATATTCTCTACCATCACACCATAATTGAGTATTACTCGTTATCGCTTATTTACATAAGGATTATAATTGTAAATAAACATTTTAAACGTTTATTTTTTAAGATAACGAATCTGTGGTAATAGTTTTACCTTCGTTTTACTTATGTGTACCGATCGGTAATGATTTTTGAAAATATACGAGAACTCAGCAGGAGATAATATTACAGTTAAATATCCCTGTAATTTTCTTTAAAAACAAACATGTACATTTCAAATAAGTATAAACAATTCATAAGACTACGTTTAAAGATTTTAGAAATATATTACATTAGAAAGAAAACATTAAAAATTTTTATTTCAATTATCATTCAACTGCATTACCTCGATACGATCTCATTACGATCGTTCAAAAATTGAGCCAACTACGGTTGGTGGTTTAATTCAATAGCAAACAGTTCCTAGTTGATTTAGTACTGTACGTTAGACTACCACCTATGACATAACAATGAGTTCACCTGTTGAATGAGACTATATATATATATGCACCTACAGAGACATATACATTCGTATGTACATTACACTTATTCAATTTTCTCATTGAAAGTTAGCCTAACTTTTCTGCCGATTATTAGGCATTTTTTTTCTATACTTTTGTGAGATTAAATCATTCTAAAATAAAAGCTATGGAATATTAATTATGAAAAAATACGAATAGTATAATTAACCCTTTCATTAGAGCATGCTTTTATATCGAGTATCATTCTACGTAAATGGTACGAAATCTAATGTATATTATTTAATTTTAAAACAATGTACATAAAAAACCAAATATATGAAACGATTTACGTGGGAAATTAATTTGTATATTTAGATAAATTATAGAAAATAATTCTGAATTGTCCAGGCTTCACTAGATGATGGTTGTCACTGCTAAAGATACTCTTTTAATTATGTTAATTACTAATTTTATTGGCCACGCACGACAATTATAGTTTAGGATGGTTATCACTCAATATATAAGAAAGGACTGAGATGGTAACAACTAAAATCATTCGAGTGTTTGTTTAGGTAATTTATCAAATAAGAAAATGTTTTGAATTAAGAATTTCGAACTGAATAAACTTTGCACATTAATATTAAATACATCCAATGTTTAAACAAACGATAATATTGTTTATACATTTGTAAATTATTTAAATTATTTATTAGAAGAGGGAAGATGTACCATTGGTCATTTATGACGTGAGGTGTACATTTTGATTGGTTTCGATCAGGGATGTAGTTATATTAGGAGTTAAATCTTATGTTGCAGCCACGATATAAATTCAAATAAATTCATATTGTTATGTCAATTTAATTAAAAATAAGTATATTTTAATCAATAATATTATAAAATATGTTTTACAAAGTTTAAATAACTAATAGATAATAAAATGAAAGAAATTCACGTCCTCAAAAATAATAATTATCAAATATTAATTAGCAATAAATTCGATTAAATATGATAGACAAATAAACGAAATTTCACGAAAAAAATAAATATATATTAATTAAAAATAATTTTCTATATAGATATAAAAAAAAATAAGGGTAAACGTTGGTGGATATTTACGGGGGTGGTGTACCACGTGACGTAGAGTTCGAACGACGTTGCCGATAGGAGGGAATGTCAGTAGTGTGCTCGCGGTTCGTATCACGGCAACGTCGCTTCGGGCGCCAGAGAGGAATAGCTGTGAGAGTGTAACACTCGTGCGGCAACACACCCAATGTTTGTGTTTTCGAATTTTTCGTGATACTACTAGGAGTGTGCTTGTGGGAAGACCGCTTTTGGCAGGGTATGTAGCCGAACTCGTGAAAATAATCTCAGGACAATGTGGACAACGACTAAAACAACCAAGTATGGCGTCGGTGAGTTTACCTTGAAATATGACAGAAAAGGGATCAACCGTAAGATATATCCTTCTCTTACAAAAACAGATGAGGAGTAAGAGAGAGAGAGAGAGAGAGAGAGAGAGAGAAAGAGATAGGTACATTAATAGATAGATAAAGAATATAAGAGAGAGATAGAAAGATTAAATATCAACCGGCATATCTTCGACTTTGAACGAGAAGATCTGTCAAAATTCAACCCCCCTTTTTTTTCTATCATTCAATTTTATTTTTATTTTTCATTTCATATCCTTTCTTGGAAATCATATTTACTGTTTTGTAAGATCAACTAAAAAGGATAATACACGTGTGTTAAAAAAAAAAAAAAAACGGAACAGGTTTCTCTCCGTACTATTTTAGTCTGAAAAAGAAAATATTACTACTATAGTTTAAAAAAACCTAATAGCTGGGTGTGTGTGTTTTTTTTCTTGTCACTGAGTATAGTTCATAAAACTCTGACGACATAGAATCGAGCGAAAGATCGTTTCGTATGATCCTGTTGCCTTCTTCCACTAATCCATGTGTACGTGTTTAGCTATCTATATATATATAATTTATATGTGTGAATCTTTTTCTGTGTGCATTTGCAAGGGAGTGCGGGTACGCGCGCCTCCTACGTGTGGGTCCATTCATGCATTGATCGTCCACACGAGTAGCGTAAGGAGCCCGTTTGATAAGGCTAATAGGAGAGAGAGAGAGAGAGAGAGAGAGAGAGAGAGAGAGAGAAAATGAAAGAAGAAAAAACACATAAAATAAAAAGAGATAGGACTATGGTAACTTGCAATTAACTTTGTGATTTCGCACCGTCTGACAGATGCATTTAGATGCACTAGATGTTCATTGACTTTTATTTTATACTATCGGAATATGAAATAAATATTAATAGATACGCATGATTAGGATTTTGTTCTATTTTTCTATAGAGAGTTAACATTTAAATTAAATAGTAAATTATTATTAATGTTTTGACTGAATTAAATAGCACGCGTGTTTTTTCATTTTCTTTATTTGAAAGGTTGAAATAATCAAAAGCCCGCACCATACGTTGTACGGAAATAATAATTATCGTTACAGGTAAAATGGGTAAATAAAAATATAACAAAAGTATATATATATACTTTGAAATATACATTGAAATACTTATTTGTAGATGTGTATTTGTATAATGCAAATCATCGTAATTCTCGACGATGCACGGAAGTCGCCAAAAGGAGAGGTCCGTTTGTTTTATTTTTATTTGTTTTTTCATCCACCGACTATTTCCTCTCACAAAGTATCCCGTAGGAAAAAGACATTTCTTTTTATCGTGCACTGATTTTAATTATTAATTAACAATACGATAACAATAATGTAATACTCTTTTATTGCAATTAATTGCGAGAAATTCTCAAGTAAAAAGTCTTTTTATGCAAACAAATGTTTTATCTTCTTTTTTATCTCACTTTTGAATGACTGCGTTGCAAGATAGAAAGAGACAGGAATTGAGGAATCGAAAATGCATTGAGTTCGATCTTTCAACAACCCCCTTAAAAAAAAAAGACAAAAAAGACAAGAGATTGAAAGAGGTAAAAACTATTCTCCTTCAAATCCTGACGCGTAATTCTTCGTACGGTGTTTTCACGTACTGTCGCGATGTGTTATATATAGACGATGCTTTAATTAACGATCAGAGTTCCAGACCAGAGTGCTATGTAATGTTCGTTCTCTCTTTTCGTTTAAGCAACATTTCGTTGCTTTTCGATCCTTCCAATCGTGTGTGTTATTTTTTCATTTAACATGTAAATAGAGGTTGATCATTAAATCCCTTTAAATTGCATCGAATTATTTAAACAACAACAATAATAATATTCTTCTAAATTCGTCTAAATAAAAATACAGATGTTCCTTGTTAATTAATGCCAATTACTCGTATGTTTGTTTGTTTGTTTGTTTGTTTGTTTGAAAGTAGAAGGATTACGACCATGTTCATTTTCGTACGATAAATTGAGTATATTACAAAAAATCATACGCAATTTGTAGTTTGAGGGATGATACAGAGTGTAATAATAAATCTATTGGGTATGGAATTTAATGCAAAAGACATTGACTACTTCATAAAATACGTCGACCATCATACCCATAGAACTCTCTACATATGCCCGCAACACGATTAAAGCACAATCTTTCAATCTATCAATCTACGACATTATCCGACCGGTCATGCCCTCGTAACTTCTTTCTTTTCTACATCCATTGTGGTATAGCAATTGGTGATACGTGTTACAGAACGTAGATTACTTTTTACGCGTAAATTATTTGTCTAAAACTATAGTACCTTACTCACATTTCATTTTGTTCAAAATAATAATAATGTTATTTAATTTAATTGAGATATGTTTAATCCAATGATATGATTAATTTCAAATGAAAAATCAACGTGCATTTCTATATTTTTTCGTTGCATTGTATTCAAGCTCATTGTTTTTAACTTTTCCATTTCTTGCTTCTTTCACCTCCGCATTTTCTTTCATTCTTTCCTTTCAATTGTGTAAGAGATTTAACGAACAGTTTAATAGTGTTGGCAAAAACGTATTATCTTTGCATCATTATCGTAGGAAGTAGTATTGTCGCGATGTAATGCAATCTGTTGCATTAAACCTAACTGTGTACTATTTATTTTTTGTTGTCACATAAACTTTCAATGAGATAATTGTCCTATTTGTCACCCTTTCATATCTGAAACAAGTAAACAAGACAACATTTATTAATAACATCATGTTAAATAAATCATTCGTTTGGTAAATGCTCATATATGTATTGTCAAAATTATTGCAATAATTCCTGATGATTTTAAATGTTATTTATAAAGGTGTAAAGGTGTAAAGTTTAAACAATTAGTGTCAGTTTACAATTGCTGAAGAAGATGTTGACTAATTTTAAATTTGCTCGACTACCTTTTTAGTTTCGTTTTATTTAACTCGTGCAAATAGTATAAAGAGAAACTAAACCGTGTATTTATTTTTAAAGAGACAGACAGAGAGAGAGAAAGAGAGAGAGAGAGAGTAGTAGTAGTAGTAAAAGTATGAAAGATACAACGTTGGTAAAATAATTTAAACGAAGATAATATCATAGAAAAGAAAAAGTTTTTAAAGAGATCAGTAACCTCGTGTACATCAGCTTGAGAATAATCTTCAAAATCTTGTATCTGTATTCAACGTGAGATTATCGTTGAAGAAAATCTTTAGAAGAATGGATTTCTTTTCCTAGAAAGGTCTACCATCCCTTTCTTTTCTTTTCCTCCCTTTCCATCATTTCCTTTTTTTTCTTTTTCTTGTACTCCAAGTAGATTAGGTCTCTTAAAACTTGCCAGTGTTTGCTATCAATTCTTATTTCCAATAGAAATTCACTATGTAAAGAGGAACAATTTATTCAAAAAAAAAGAAAAAGCTAGAATGTTGTAGAAATTTTTCTATAACAAAGTAACGTCATTTGAAAACAATTATTCAACCCTGTATAATTTTAAACAATTTTCAAATGTTTTACATGCATTTTTATTCTTTAAATTTGATTGAATATATTTGTCAAAAAATATCTAGTAATTTATATTATAAAATTGAATATTTCTTAATTGTAAACATTATTATATTAACCCATTAGCTTCCACGATCTCCATTTGGGGATTTTGGAATTTTACGTACACCACTCGGTTTTATGTGGACTGTATGGAAAAATGGCATAATAATAGCTATTTTGTATGTATAGGATAATAATAAAAGAAATAAGTAATAGTCTCTTATTAGTTTTTTTCGTGCAACCAGCCACAATTCCCATTTAAGACTTTTTAAAGTCTTATAAATATTATTGAAATAAAAAATAATTTGGCAATTAATGGGTTAATATAAAAAAATAGTATTAAATAATTATGAATTATTGAGTTTGTAGAGGGTTGAAAATAAATTCGATTAACATGTTTCCCATGCACATGGGGTAATAATTCAGCTTGGCAGAGGGAATGTGTTAATAGAGTGGCGTATATTTCTTTAATGAAATTGGACAAATATTAAAATCTATTATTTCAAAATACGTAAAATAATAATCTTTAAAAATGTAATACCAACCAATTTATGGATTCAAGCCAAAGAAGGAAAAAATGTGGTTGAAGTATGTGGTTGAGAATTGGTACGCAGTTTCTTTTCTTAGCTTCCTCGTAACTTTTATTCTATCTTCATCGTTCTCTTATGAAACATTTTTTTTCTTTCTTCTTCAAGTCGAGGGAAATCAATCTCAATTGATATTCGACGTGCTTGAAATAAAAGATCAAGAATGAAATATTGATTTATGTTTATAAACTTCCATTATCTAAATCAGATTGAGGAATGTTTTTGTTAAATAAAAACAAACGCGTATAATAAGAAAATGATGTTATATAAAATGTAATCAAATCTTTTTATACAACAATTATATTTGTTGTGTTTAATGCAATTAAAAATAATCGATAGGGAATTTAATTAAAAAACTATCTCAACATTTATCTTCATTTCTCTCTCTTTCGTGTTTTCGATAAAATGATAATTTAGATAGTACCATGTGAATGAGATAAATTCAAACGAGATAAGATTAAAGTATCAGTTATTTCTAGTTACAAAAAAAGAAATATTACTAGTACGACTGTAACTATTTTTGAAGTAACAACTTCTTTAGAATCAGGGTGATTTGAAAATCGTGAAACGGAAGAACGTGAAACTGATGAAACAAAAATAATTAATTAATTAATAAAATTCTATATATAAAAATTCAGTGTCACAATATGTTTGTCCACTAATAATTTCCTAAATTACTCAACTTATTTTAATGAAATTTATTTTATTTCACGTGATTTTGTTCAACTTAGCACATAGCACAATTTTTATCGCAATTTTTTTTTTTTATTATTTTTAATTATAATACTTATTCAAAGATTTTTATTTAGAGATTATCTAGCTTCTGTAAAGTTCTTTCAATAGATGGCACTGTATTACAATTCAATTTTTTCGATATATTCACGTCTCGAAGCTTGGTTTTCTTTGAAGGTTTTAATTCTACTGTGTATGATCTGCACACATTTGTTTATTTATAGAAAAACATTTCTTCCATAGTAATAAACTGAAGAATGAAAAGGAAGTGTATTAAAGTAAACGTTTTATAATTTCTAATCCATAAAAAATGAAATCTGTTCCGAGAGAAACAATTACGGATATTTAATCGTTTCAAAGTATCAAGTAGCAAAATGTGTTTCTGTGAAAATGACTAAAGATTATAATGGTTTTGAAATAAATAAATGTGCGTGAAAAGAGAGAGGTATAATAAAAAAGTAAAAAAAGTAAAAAGAGGAGTAAAGAGGAAACAACAAGGCAGAAAGTCTCTACTTCATCCACGGGATGGACGTTAATGATTTCAGATGTCATTGTTTACGTCCGCTCGTTTCATCCGAGACTTTTCCGTCATGCCTGGGGATCCCTTCTCTACGTGCCAGAAGGCATTAGGAACCCCTCCTCGTCGTAGTTAAGCTCACCAGTAGTGTGGCTCGTATACCAACCAAGTATATCTCGACACGTGTGAATCCACGTGTGGATTAGAAAGAGACACAAAATACATCAACAGATGCTTTGAATACGTTTATACGGGGTGTCTTCCCCATTAATATATTAACTACATGACGAATTATTCAATTTTACCTGTAACTTTTTTACATTTACTTTCAAAATCATTATTTTGCTTTTGAATGATTTCATTCAATGGAATTTGATTTATTTTCTAATGCAATGGCAATAGGGGTTTGTTTGATTTGTCTTTTTTTTTTGGTATTATTTTCAAGGACACCCTGTATATCATCAATACATATATATATATATATATATATATATATATATACATATATAGATATAGATATATGTATAGGGGGTAACGAGAGATAGAGAAAGACGAGAGAAGAATACCTTCTGCGCCTGCCACGAGGAGGACTATGGGTCCCCCGTTGCGAATGTTTTATATAGGAGAAAGGGAGTTATCGATTTAATTCCCCGGGAAAACTCAGAACGGAGAGAGAAAACGAGGGAAATGTTATGGGGGAGAGACTACCTTCCGTATACTCTGACTATGGCATTTCATGGGTACCTTTCTTCTACCCCTAGAAAGGAGGATGGAAAATTATTTTGAAATATTTCTGCAACTGTATACAGGGTGTCTTATTCTTAACAAAATAAAATAAAAATTGTTCAACTGTATACGGGGTGTCTTGTACTTAAAAAAAAATACACACACCTTAACTAGAGTTACAAAAAAAGCTTGCAATTATTATTGTTTATTTATTTTTTTATATACTGGGGGAGGGGGTAGTTTTATTTCGGGTTGCGTCGGGGTTTCTAAAACTTGAAATTAAAGTGAGATGTACGATTTTGTTGGAATGTTTTCAAGCAACATATGTTGTTTTAAAAAGTGTATTTGTTGAAGGGGGTGACTAACGAATTGACCGAAGAAGAGCGACATTATTGATCCCTTTTCTTGGAAAGGGAAGACAACCCCCGATGGGGAAGCTCGCTCGACTTTTGTGCCAAATCTTACTTTCTTTCTGACTTTTTTTATTCCTTTCTCTGTGTCAGGGAAAATTTGTCCTCAGGACAATGCCTGTTACCATCTCCATTTTATTCTACAAAAAATCGATACACTTCCTTCAATTTTAACTTTAGAAAAAAAAAAAAAACATCATCCAGATATATAATTAATTATTATAATCTTCTTTTATGTTACATTTCTTTGTTTGACTTTTTTGAAACACCGAGTTTGATCTTTGACAACGTGAAACGTGCAATATGAGAAAAATTGCATCGAGTTTTTAAATGCGTATCTGTCACTTTAAATTCCTGTTGGTATTCTTTCAAAGTTATATGCACGTTCTTTATTTATCATCTTTGATATATAAGACAAAAGAGAAAGAAAGAGAGAGATAGAAACGTTCACAAAACGAATTCCATCAACACATAACTCGGTATCGATTTTTCATTATCGTTCGAGTTTACAATTCCGACCTCGAATTTTATTGTAACAAATGATTCAATTCTAGGATCTCTCTTTCGAATTTTATTATTTTCTTTTTTCTCTATAATACAATTTTTATTAAAAATAAAAGAGAATGAGAGAAATGAAAAAACTTTGTAATCCTATTATTATAAAAATGTTTCAAACTGTTAACTTTCATTATTTTTGGTTAATGAATAATATCAATTGATGAACAAAACAAAATATAACACATTATTACACTGCAATTTATAAAATAATATTAAAAATGCATTTTGCAAGGCGCGTCGATATATATTGTTAACATCATTGAAAATTTACAAAATAATAACACGTTTGCATATTAAATTCGCATGCATGAAAGAAAAAAAATATCAAACAAAATAATAAATCGTTTCACGAATATTTTACAAATAATTTACCTTCATCTTTTGTCTATTATCGAGTAATACAAAATATTATTATTAATAATAAAAATAAAAAATAAAAATTAAAGAAAATAAAATTATTGTAATGGAATTGTAAAAGATGTGTAAAAAAAAAAAAATATACAATGTAAAAGATACAATGACTCGTTCATTGGCACACACGACGACGATAGTGGGCGAGCAAATGAAACTTATGTTAGTCACATTCGTACAGAGAAAAACACACGTATGACGTCTTTCGAATTATGCTACTTATACTTCTACTTATATACATATATATATATATATATATATATATATATATACAGAAATTATACTTTACATATAACTATATTTACTTTATTAACTTTACTTTACATACAACTATATACTATATAAAAGAGAGTGTATCTATATTTTTTTATTTTTTATTTTCCCTCTCTCTCTTTCTTTCTCTCTCTCTCTCTCTCTCTCTCTCTCCCTGTTTAATGTAGGAGTAGAAATAAGTGCGAGAAAGATAGACACATAAACTCATCGAGATGCATCTCGCGTACGTTCCTCCAGCGAAGGACCGGAAGTTGGCTCGTCATCATACGTGCATCGTCACGCGTATCCGGTGCCCAAGAAGACTAGCTTATCGATTCCAGGAATGGACGTGTACTCATTTTTTTTTTTTTACCAAACACCCTTTGATCCATAAATCATTGTTATTAAATCTTAATTTTATTCGATCATCTTTTTTTATGTTAGATTAAAACAAAAAGCATTCTACTGTATTTAATTTTACAAATTTAAAAAAATAAAGAAAAATCTTTTGAACGGTAAATAAATCGATTCTTTGTATCGTACTCGCGATTTTTCTTAGAAATTTGCAAGATTCAAAGATCGTATCAAAGTCCCTCGTTAAAAAAAAAAAAAAAGAAAAAAAGCAAACTTTAAAGTTCACAAGGTTTCCTTTCTCTCTCTCTTTTCCTGTGCGTCCGTTTTTTTTTTTTTTTAATTGCTCGAGGCTGCCTTTTACAGAGCCCTTGATTTCGATTAAGGGAAATTCAACTCGTGGAATGGTATAAGATTCAAGAACACGAGTCAACGATAAAATAAAACATTGAAATTTATCGATCATTTGTTTGTGCTTACCGTTTATTAAATAATTATTATAACGAATCAAATGAATTATTAATTATAGTAATTGATTATTTTTTGTAGCTGTCTACAATTGGCGTGGAGAGACGCGTTATGGACTTCCTTTAGAAATTGGAGAAACCGTACAAATTTTGGAAGAATGTGCAGGTAATCAAAAATTTCAATAATTACAAATTATTAGGTCGAGTAATAAGTAACTTCCGATGCAGCTATGTAGAATCTATTTTTTGTATTTACCTACTATAAGTCACCGAAATAAACGGATTTTCGATATCACTATTTAGATGAGGATTCAGTTAGTCTTCGGTTAACTTTTTTATGCAGTCAATGTTACATTTAACCGTTTTTCTTAACCACTGAAATGGATAGTAAAAAGTGAATATTCGACATGTAATACTTTAGGCATTGAAACAAGGCAATAGCACTAAGGTGACAGCTGAAAAAATATGCAGCGTATACGGTGCAGGATTGATAACTGATAGGGCAGTTAGAAATTGGTTTGTAAAATTCCGTTCTGGAGATACGATCTTAAAAGATGAACCGAGTGCAGGGCGTATTTCCGACTTTGGTGAACCTTTTATAGGTAATATTGGAGCAAAATCCAATAGATACGTTCAACAATTGCAAAAAGTGCAAAAAAAAAACTCCATGAAAGGTGTCTTGCACTTATCAGTCGCAGAAACGCCATTCTTTGTCTCATAAAAAACGAAAGTTATTTATGACTCGACCTAATATTTGTCAAAGATTTGATTGATTATGTTAAATGTTGATCAACATTTTTGTTCAGGTTGGTACAGAGGATTTTCTACAAAGAATCGTGGGGTTAAAGGAATATTTCCTAGTTCCTACATACACCTGAAGCCTTGCAAAATCGACAATGAGGGTCTCTTTGAGTCGGTTATCCCTTTGGAAGATCCGGTCGTACGGGAAGTTACCCTCGTCCTTAGAGAATGGGATGGTATTTGGAAAAGGCTTTACGTGGTAAGCACCCTACAAATGCATATTACATGCATATTACATGCATATACACTTATGCATCATCATCATCATCATCATCGTCATCATTTGCATCGATTTTTTTCCCCCTTTCATCGTATTTTTTTTTTTTTTAATAAAAGTCAACAATTTTTTCTATCAAAATTCAAATACAAAATTCGACAAAAATTGTGAAAAATTGAAATGAATATATTTGAATTTTAAATTTAGAAATATGTTTGATAAAAATCACATTATTTGGGTGTACTGTATTAAATTTGTAGGAACGAGAAACATACAAATTTACAACCCTGAGGAAAGTGATGACAGATTTGCTACAATGGCGACGACAACTTTTGGCTAGCACCCTTACCACTGATCAAACTCGTGAACTCAAACTACGGATTATCAACAAAGTCGACTGGGGAAATCGGTAAGTCGGATTGAGAAACATAAAACAAACCAATTCCCAAAACTCATTAATACAATTTCGTGAAATTTATCTTTTGAAGATATGATATATCATCATATCTTATGTATAATATATCATCGTGTATTTGAAAATTATTTCAAGTTATCTTTATGATCATTTTACACATTCTTACAGAATACAATTATTACGTTTATGTTTATTAATTGAAACATAAAAAATATTGAATAATTAGTTCATCTCGTGTAAGAACCATAGGGATACTACACATAGAGGAGGCGAGCCAGCATAAAACCTATTGGCGAAAATAAAAGAGATAGAACATGGGAGGTTGATGTTGTCTCTCTCTCTAACTTGCGAGTCTTTTGTTCTTTCTTGCGTTATATATACATATATATGTGATATATATGTGTACAGCATGAGTTAGAGAGAGACAACATCAACCTTTCGTTTTTTGCTATAGTTTATGCAGTGACATTTCCACTTACACAACCGCTTATGGTTCGCCTACTCTATCTTTAATATCTCTATGGTAAGAACACGTAAAACGAACATATAAAAAAATATATATATGTTGGTATTATTCATTTATTATTTTTTTTATTATAGTTCGTATAAAAAAAAAAAAAAGAAAAAAAAACAGAAACTTGGACGAATTACATAAAATAGAATTCTTAAAGAATTCTAATCTTAATTCGGAATTATTCTTATCATCTGTTTTACTAATTGAACATTACAGTCGTGTATAATATTTCATTATTTAACTTAATATTATATATCATATACTTTAACGCATTTTATAAAGATCATATTTTTATATATTCTATATAAAAAAGGCACATATATAGTTTTTAAACAATAGTTCGCAATTATAATCGTCACCTCGTTGTTCTCTCTTATAAATCTACCGTGGGAATTAAAAATTTCTATAATACGTACATGTATATGAGAAGTTTATTTTTAAAATGGCATAAATAATTTTAAATTCATGTAAATGTATTTTGATAATGATCAAGAAATTTGTCAATTTTTAGAAAAATTAAACAAATCTGATGATATTCGAGATAAAAAATTCAAGTAAATTCATTAGCAAAAATTGGCAAAAATATTCAAAATAGAAATATAAAATTATTTTTTTAGCCATTATTTAAATAAACAACTGTATATTATAATTATAATAAACTTGGTAGTAGTATTCTTATAAGGCAGCTTCGGTATGAATATTTTCATTATTGACTTTACTTACGAGTTATTCGAGCATTGTTCAAACAATTTAATTAGTAAAAAGAATTAATTATTACTATTATTATTATATAAAGAAAAAAAACAATTCTCTTATTTTCTATCTTTCAAAATGATGTTCAACGTTCCACCTTGTTATTGGATTTCAGATAAGAAAAAAAGTAATTTCCAACTCGTAAAACGTGTAAAACTCTTATTGCTACGCGCCCACAAAGTTTTCATTATTTATTTATTTATTTTTTGTTTATCTTGCTAATAGTCATTGCACCAATTACGCATTAATCGATTATTTGCTAGTTACATACACAGTTGTATATATATATATTTATATTTATTTAAAAAATAAAAATTTGTGAAGGAATGTGTGTAAGGAATAGAGAGAAAAAAAGAATGAACAAAAATAGGATTCCATAATCTACCAACGTTAATTACTGTTCATTTAACTTACAAAATAATAATAATAAAAAAAAACAATAAAATAAAATAAAAAATCTTAAAGATTCGGCTCTCCCTTTTTTGTTATTATTTTTACTCGCTAACTAATTTTTAATCTTACGTCAAACTAAAAAAAAAAAAAAAAGACAATTCGTTCATAGTTTATTTTATACGTTTTGCAAACGTACGAGGAAATTTTTTTCACGGTAAGAGCTAATTAAATTCTTACGGAATCGAAATGAACGTCTCTCATGAATGAGAGAACAGAAATAATGAGTGTTAAACTACTTTCTTCGATTAATATTTTTTTCTTCTTCTTCTTCTTTTCCTTCATTAATTAGCAATTGTACAATACTACCCTTAGTTTAATTTTTTTTTATTATTTTATTTTATTTTTTATTACTCGATATAAGAAAATATATTCGCATATTTCTAAATTTATTAAATTCGATGATTTAAAAAAAAAGAAGAAAATGATTATATTTTTCATTTTCCTATAATTAGAATCTAAAGAAAATGTTAAAAAGAAAAAGAAGGAATTAAACATGATCAAGAGAAATATCTTTAAACGTTTGTATCAAACGTTTCAAATTGTTTCTAATTCATAACACTATCGAATACAAAAAAAAAAAAAAAAAGAAAAAATACTGTGGTCCCTTAAATTCGATAGAACAAAAATGGAATGTGAAAATGGATTCGTTGGCTTAGAAATTCCTAATTCGTAGTTCGTCTAAATACAAATCTAGTCTTGGCTTCGTCGTGCTTCGATCGATAATAATAATGATGATGATAATTATGATGATAATGATGATTACAATGTTTGAAAAACAAAAAAAAATCAATGATACAAAAAAATATATTTGTCCTCTGACAAAAGAAAAAAAAAAGGATCAAAAGGAAAAAGAAATTGATAAGAAAAAAACTATGCATCGAGAGAGAAAAAAAAATAAAACAGAAAAAAGACAATCGTTGAAGGCACCGACGGTAATTATCACAATAATAAAAATTAGAAATAGAAGTTGGATAGGAAATAGTATAAAGAGGATGATTGTGGAAGGAAGGAAATACAAACTGAGGGATTGGGGATGATGATAAGGGTTGTTAGTATCAAATTTTTCTTATATCTCTGTATCCTTTGAGAATTTTTCGATTTCTGGATAAATCGGTGACATCTCTAACGTGCTCGGTGCTGATGGAACTGACGTTGGTGACGCGCTACTTCCTGAACCAAGGTGCAACCGATGGCAGAGTTCCTTCAATATGTCGGTAAACAACATCGAGTTTATGTTCTGACCTAGCAGATGTATCAATAGGAAGTCACCGACCTACAAAAAAACATATATATTATATTAGTGTTTTCAAAAATCATATACTTCAATATATAAATACAGGTAACCCCCGAAAAACAAGATTTTTTAGTTCTTCTAGGGTTATTTGTAAATAAAAAACATAAGAATTATAAACCAACTTGAGTTTTTCTGACGAGTAAACTGACGTCCGATGGAGTACCGAATTTAAATCGTTTCCTTAAAATGGTTTCACGTGTGCTAGGTAAAAGAACGATCGCCATACTGTAAAGAACAGCTAATCCTGATAATACAGCAACTACAATGAACCAGAACCACAGGAAGATGTAGATTTTTTCATTGAGAATATTCAAGGCTAACACGCATAAAGCATCAAGCTTTTGTATAGTTCCGGAAGCACCAAATTTATGGAATGTACATTTGGTTACTCTTGGAAATCTTTCGACCATAGGATCGGAACGATGTTCTTGATTCATATTACTGAATGATATAACTTCAGTGCCGTATGTTAAAAATGCACCACCTAGGAACGTATCGATGAAGAACATGTTGCCAATCTACAAACAATAAATCATAACGATTTAATTTCATGATTTCCTCCCTTTTTATGTTGTTCTTTTTTTAATTGAACAATTTATGCTTACCACGTTAATGAAGTTAAGTAATTCACAGAAGAAATAACCGGTAGCATAACTGTTGTGCAAATGCAAAGTATCTATGATATATTCAACCAATTTGTTTACTCTGATCTCACGTTCCTGCTTGCTTTCAACTATGGCACCCCTCATACCATCGGATATCATTCTGACCTTGCCTTCCTCCCACTGTTTCCACATCCAGTGCGGCACGTAAAAGAGAATACCTTGGAAGAATAACATGAAGGGTACCCATTGATAATACGAATGATAGATTTTCTCTTCGTTGTAATCTCCACCGAGTCCGGGATGAGCTACTTGAGTGCCAACTTGTTTCATGTTATTTGTCGGCAATGTAAATGTGTATGTTATCCAGCAATATGTATTTATCACGTGATTTGGTACCGCATTATCCGATATACAATTTATTGGATCACCTAAAACAATCAGAAGTTTATTTTTTTTTCTTTGTGAATAATAATTTATCTTCAATGTGAGATACATTAATAGAATGGAATTATGTTCAATAAAAATAAGCACACGTCCTCGGACACATGATACCCCATTACACTCGACAAATGAAGAAGACTTCTTTCATACTAATCACGTGTTATTATCAAGAATGTAGTACGAGAACGAAGCAGTTGCAGACGTTTGACATTTCAAAACTTGTCTCTCGTTAAGTTTCTATTTTTAAACTTAGCAAAGGATAACGAATCAAATACAAGATCATGCACACGTATTTTGACTTTATTATTGTTAAATTGTTTCTATGAGTTTTAGAAAGAATAAAATCTTATTTTAATTTATTAAGATTAATTATGACGTACCTATCAAATTATTGGCAGTGACAATGATGCAACTAGCGAATAAAATTGCAGCAGTGATTCTATAATGAATTCGGAATATTATGTTATCGATGACAGCTTTGTCGATGAGATATCTCATCTTCAAGAACCCGGCTACAGCCGAGACCAATCCGAACACCACCATTTTGCTTCTTTTATTTTATCCTTGGTCTGAAAAAGAATAAGAAAATATTTATATATTATTTGAACAAATTTTTAAATTAAAATCACATCGATTATTATTTAAAATTTGATATTTCAAAAAGTTCGATGAGTCTACGAAGAAATTAGTCAATGATCAATGAGCTACGCGAAGAAATTAGTTAATGATCGAGGAGTCGGGCAGTTTTAAAACAATTTCAATGAGTCTACGAAGAAATTCGTCAATGATCGAGGACTTTTGCATTTTTAAAAAAGTTTAGTGAGTCTACGAAGAAATTCGTCAATGATCAATGAGCATTGACTGAACTTTTCGTAGACTCGTGCATTGACGAATTTTTCCATAGCTCATTGATTCTCGAAAATTACAAAATTTTTTTTCATACATTCGTGCATTGACTGAACTTTTCGTAGACTATTGCATTGATTGAATTTTTCGTAGACTTGTAAAATTAATAAAATTTTTTGTACATTTGTGCATTGATTGAACTTTTCGTAGATTCGTGCATTGATTAAATTTTTGTTATTACACTAGTTCATTGATTGAATTTTTCGTAGACTAGTGCATTGATTGTCCACTCATAAGACTTTTAAAAAACAACGAAGAAATATTTATAAAAATAAAAATTAATTAATTGAACAAAGTTTTCAAGGTCTAAAATGATTTAATCGAAAGTATAGCGACGTTAACCTTCCGTGAACCGGAAATGGCAGATGCAACGGGGGATCGATATAGAAGACTGCGTGGACAAGTACATACACACACATACACACATACATACACATTTATAAAAAAGAGAAAGAGAGAGAGAGAGAGAGAGAGAGAGAGAGAGAGAGAGAGAGTGGGCTCTTCAACTCGCAAATTGTTCTCATCGGCGAAACAAAAGGAGACGAGGAACACGATAGAGAATGGGCTTCGTTCCATTCTACAAATTTCTGTCGTACGTAGGACGAACTCGAATAAAAGAAAAAAAAAAAAAAGAAAAAAGAAAAGAAAAGAAAAGAAAAGAAAAATGGCCGCTTATACCAGGGTGCACACATATGACGATGATTATGTCTATGTATTCGTACACGTGTACGTTCGTGAGAAAAAAGCTTTTTGCTACGTAATAAAGAAGAAAAGATTTTTAACGAGAAGAAACCCCTTTTTTAATTTTTTTTTATTCTGCCATCAAAAAGGTAAAAAGGTGTTACAAATTTTTCGAAAGTGAAATTTCACAGCATGTTTTTTATTCTACAATGGAAGGAAAGAGGAATCATTGCAGTAATTTAAGAAAGTTTCGCGATATTGATCCTGACACTGAGTCATGCATAATCACTATATATAAATACTACTTCTGAGAATCTTACGTTGATAATCTCAACGGGACAATGAATCAAAAGAATGCAGAAATGTAAGAGAGAATGAACAAATTCCTGCAGTCAATGTCATTCGTTCACTTTCCAACGTGGTTGGATATTTTTTAAAATGGGGGAAGAAAATATTTCAATCTCTTATTAAAAAAAAAAAAAAAAAAAAAAAAAGAAATGAAAGCTTTCTACAAAATGCAATTATTTTTTAATTAAATTTAGAAAATTATCCTAATCCTATTTTAAATTGAATAATTATTTATAACGATCAATATTTATGCTATAAATATATAATTTATATACTTAAATTAAAATATTAATAATTAATTAATAATAAAATATTATTATACAATATTTAAGGTTAATAAATAAAGTTGAGAATAGAATTTTTCGTTGGTTTCATTTTGAGATGAAATTGAACTAACGGTTCACAACAGACGGTCTCGAAACATCAAAAGAGAATCTAAGAGAGAAAAATATAGAGAAAGAGAGAAAGAGAGAGAGAAGCTAGTGGCCGAGTTATACGTCGTTAGAATTTTATTACTTAATCAATTGAAAACAGGCGGTACGCGTGCCACTGCTATGGGGTCAATCTCCAAGTTCTTCTTTCAAAGAGATGTATTGCATGTGTATTTTTTTTTTCTTTCTCTCTTTCTCTTATTTTCTTTTTTTTTTTTTTTTTTCAAAGATAAAACATTCAGTTTTAAAGAAGCTTAAGAATTTCACACGAGTAACCTGATTTTTAGATTTTTATATTTGTTTTCCATTATCTTAGCACTTTAACACACCTTTTTCATGAAAATGATTTGTTTCATGAAAATAATTTGTTTCAATGAAAAATTCTCTTTGATATTTCTTTCATTTTTAGTAGAATCTTTTTAACTGGAAAAAGAATAAAAATCTGTCTGTTTGTCTGTCTGTCTGTCTGTCTGTCTGTCTGTTTATCTGTCAGGCAAAATACACCAAGTATGTTAACAACAACACGACTTCCAATTTGTTCCGCGTGATGTACGAGCATTTCCTCCTGACAATGGCTGTCATTCACTATAATTTATTTATTTTTTTTTTTATGGTTTGTTTTCTCGTGACACGTTTAAAATACATACTTGATTTCAACAATAAAATATATATGTATAAAGGATATATAATCTTAAAATATATAAAAATATGATTAGGAATCTCATCCAATTGAGATTCCAAATTTTTACATTTAAACCTAAAATATTAAACTTTCAATATATATATAATAAATTAGCACACACTAAAATATGAAATTAAAATACATAATTGATTTTAACAGCAATAAAATATATACATATACATTATGTGCAATGTTAAAATATTCTATAAAAATATGATTAGGAATCCTCATCCAATTAGAATTCTCAACCCTTAAATTAAAATCTCCTAAAATATTAAACCTTAAATATAATAATTTAGCACACACAAACGTATGAAATTTCCAACCATCCACGGGGATTCACTGTTGCAGCTGCTAACAACTTATGGCAAAGGATAATTTCAGCTGATCCCATGGTTTCTACTTTATAAGTGCAATGCAAGTAAAAAAAGCAAGCAAGCAAGCAGGCTATGCAACATTTTGTCATCAAGTTAGTTTGATATTTCTTTTTGTTTTTTTTTTTATAGAATATTATTCTACCGAGAGTATCGTTTCAACTTCTTTCGATTATTCGTTGCATCGAATTTCGATAAGTTCTCTGTAAAATAGTACGGATTGGCAGATTGAATTGTCTCCAGTTATTTCAAAAAAAAAAAAAAACTATTCTAAATACATCTATCTTCTCTATGTTTCCTTTTTTTTTTTTTATAAACCTTCCTTTAAAAAAAATAAAAGGAAAAAAAAATTGTCGATAACGTTGACACGTACAAACTTTTTTTTATCTTCGTTCCAGAAAAAATTTGTTTCGTATATTCAATGAAAAGAAAAAATATTACATATATATAATAATATAATATAAATATATATATTATATATTCAGAGACAAAAATCAGTACACATGAAAGTTTGATGATGAATATCTTTTGAACGCTTAATTTAATCGCCAAAATATAAGACACCATTTTTATAGAGCAGTTAATTTCCTACAAAAATTTGTATTGTGCACTTTTTAATAGACATTTATTGTCGAGTTATAAAATTCATAAACAAAAATGAAATTTGTCTAAAAATCATCAAATTTAAATCTTCAATATCATTTAAATGGTGAGGTTTATGGAAAAAATATAAGATACCTTTTTTGTAGAGCATTAAATTTCCTACAAAATTCGTCTAGAACATTTTTCTGTACAATCAATAAATAATGAGGTATGAATTATAGTCTATTGGACTGAAAAAAAAATAAAAAACTGCGATGCGGAGGATCTTCCTATTAAAATTAAGAGCTCGTATTTGGTGAGAATTGTTTTAAAGTGTCTAGCAACCCATTTTTCCGTGGCACTTGAAAAAAAAAAATAAGTCATTTTTTTGAACCACCCTAATATATATATATATATTAATTAATATAATATAAATATAATATTAATATAATATAAAATTATATTAATATAAATATAATAAAAAATATTACATATATATTAACATTAGATTTACGAATTGAGCCAATTTGACTCATTGAACATTTGATTATTATATATTTATAAAATTTAAATACTATTTTTTAAAAACTTATATTGGTTTTTAGTTACGTAATGAAATATACGTAAATATTAGTTCCATTCCTTTACTTAACTCTTCATTCAAACAATGTTATTAAATTATTAAAAAATAATGAACAAAACATCCGTTAATCTAGTGTTAAATAGAGTTATATATATATGAATAATAATTCTAAATAAATTCCAAATAAATTCCAAATAAATTCGAAATAAATTCGAAATAAATTCGAAATAATTAAAAAATAATTAAAAAATAAAATAAAATTATAATAAAAGAAAAATGAAATGAAAAAGAAGTATATTATGTTTTCTACAATGCGTTTTAGTTGTTTGAATTGGTTAGTCTCTCGTTTTGCGACTCCTCCTATACGATTCCCCGAAAGGTTGCTGGTTAACGAACAGACGAGTTAAACCAGTTGGTCTTGTCTCTAGAGAGTCCAAGAGGAAAGAGACGAGGAAAGAGAGGAAAGTGGAGATATACCAAGAGAGGACACTAACTATACATATGAGAATGACGAAGAGATGAGGGAGGCTGCTCGTACACACACATACATACACATTCTAACTCTTTACTCTTTGTCCTCCTTCCATATTTCTCATTTTACATATTGTCTTCTTCAAACACTTTCTATCTTTTTACTTCTAACTTTGAAAGAACTATTAAATTATTTAAAAAAGAGAAATATAAATATATTGTAAATAATTTACACACATTTATATAACTGGTCCACAAATATAATATAATATAATATAATATAAAATAAAATAAAATATAATTTATTTTCTATAATTTTATGAAGAAAATAAGAGAAAGATAGAAAGATAGAAATTTTCCAAGCCAATATCCAATAATAAAAGACTATCCAATAATAATCATTAGAAGTATATAACGTTCTATATAAAACGTACGATTTCGTCTAGGGATATTAAATTCGGAGTTTCGATACATAGGAAGATCGATAGATGAAGAGAGATGGAGGAAGAAG